TTGCGCCCAGGGGTTGAACGGGCTGCGCCAGGTGGAACGGTTGCGCCAGCGTGAACGTGCCCCAGGTGGATACGGATGCGCCAGCCGTGAACGGTTGCCCCAGGTGAACGGTGTGCGCCAGGTCGAACGGTGCCGGTGAACGGGGTGCCCAGGAACGTGCGCCAGTACGCCCAGTAGACGGCAGGGTGTAAGCGGTGCCCGTAGTGAGCGTGGGGGGGGTTGAGTGAACGTGCCCATCTCTTTTTTTTTAGTAGAGACAGGGTCTCGCTCTGGCTCAGGCTGGTCTCAAACTCCTGACCTCAAGTGATCCGCCTCGGCCTCCCAGAGTGCCAGGATGACAGGCGTGAGCCCCCGCGCCCGGCCCTTACTTTTCAAGCATTTACACGGAGAGTTTGAACTAAATGATTCTCGCCCACCTCTGACTTCCTGATTCTGTGCATGCTTCAGTCTGTGTTTATCTCTTCCTTCCATCGGTGATAACGTTGCTAACGGTTACTGGACCCACCCTGCAAGCCAGGAGTGGCGGTTGCTCGGAGCTCTGGTCTCTTAGTGGAAGGGAGAAGCAGTCCTGTAGCGTGGCTGCCCTGGTCTTGCTCCAGGGTGGCCCCAAATCCGGTCCCACCTCCCCATCACCCCCCCTCCCCGCACCCCACCCGCGGGCCAGTCTGCAGCCTGCGGATTTCCGGCGCTTGGCCGGCGCTTGTTGGCTGTGTGCGTGGAGTGCACATCCTTGGAGAGTAAAGTTGCCCGTCCAGAGTCACACGGCTAGTGGTGGCAACGTCCCAAAGAGGTGGCCTGCCCTGTGTCTTGTGTTAGCTGTCGAACACGGAGAAAGAAGCAGTGGCATCCGGTTGCCTCGGGGCGGTTCTGTGGGCGTCCCGGCCTTCGTCCTGCCTCCCATCCTGGAAAGCCTTGGCAGCCCGTCCGGCGGGGATCTGTCTTCCTGGGCGTGCTCACTCGCACGGCAGAACCGTGCGGCCGTGGTTAGATGTGGGCCCGGGAGCCCCCAGGCCGAATCCCGGCTCTGCCACGTTCCTGGGAGCCTCGGTTTTCTCTCCTGTGAAATGGGGAGAATCAGGCTGGCCATCGTTCCCCCGCAGAGCCAGACTTGGGAGGGCGCCCGCAGTAGAGGGCTGTGGAGATCCCACGGCGGGCAGGTGGTGGCTGTCCCCCTGGTAACCGCGGACGCTCTGTGGCCGGCAGGTCATCACCGGAGGCCACTATGACGTGGACTGCTACGTGGAGGACCCCCAGGGGAACGTCATCTACCGGGAGACCAAGAAGCAGTACGACAGCTTCACGCACCGGGCGGAGGTCAAGGGCGTCTACCTGTTCTGCTTCAGCAACGAGTTCTCCACCTTCTCGCACAAGACGGTGTACTTCGACCTGCAGGTGGGCGAGGAGCCCCCCATCCTGCCGGACATGGGGAACAGGGTCACCGCCCTCACCCAGGTGAGTGGACGGGCACAGCCCCTCGCTGTGGCCCTGCTCCCGGTCACGTGGGTCCTGGCGTGGGCTTGGCCTCTGTCTCCACGTCCACCCCGGAGGACGCCATGTTCTCCTTCCGGTCCTCCTTTCCGACCGATCCCGGCTCCCTGCAGGGCTCTCCTCTGACACCTGCTCCCTCCGCTCCCTCCAGCCCGCTCAGGCTGTCCCATGGTCCCTCACGCCCACTCGGGCTGTCCCGTGGTCCCTCACCATTGCCTGGGCTGTCCCATGGTCCCTCACCCGCTCATGCCTTCCTGTGGTCCTCACCCCCGCGGGCCGTCCGTGGCCCTCAGGCCACTTCCTGGGCCCTTGTGCCACGTGCCTGTCTGCTCACGCGGTGTGCCCGTGTCCTGCCGCGTGTGGCGGTGTACGGGCGAAAGTAGCACAGGCCGCTGCGACGTGTGCTCTCTGCGTGTTGAAGGCTCAGCACTGAAGGCTGGGCCCTGTCTCTACTAAAAAAATAGAAAGAATTAGCTGGACGGCTAAAAATATACATAAGAAATCAGCCGGGCATGGTGGCGCATGCTCTGTAGTCCCAGCTACTCGGAGGCTGAGGCAGGAGAATCGCTTGAGCCCAGAGTTTGAGGTTGCTGTGAGCTAGGCTGACGCACGGCACTCACTCTAGCCTGGGCAACAAAGTGAGACTCTGTCTCAAAAAAAAAAACAAAACAGTGAGACCTGCACAGAGCAGAATGACACAGGGGGTCAACAGCTGAAGTTGTTCTCCTGGCTCGGAGAAGGCCGTGGGGAGCTTCCCCCGTGGTGTCACCCAGGAATGCGGGCTCTCTCTCTCGTCACCTCCTGCC